AACCTACAGCTCTGCATTTTAACATATTTCGCGGCTTGAGACGATTACTATTCTTACCTGTCTTGTAAACAGATTTCAATAAATCATTTATAACAAAGAGTGATTTGTTTATCGAAAGGAGCGCCCGTCACAGTAATGACGTGCTGCCACGGAATCGTGGATGTGTAGTTGTCCGAGCTTCAGTACAAACACTGTCATTCCTCGGCACTCCAGGATGGCCACAGTTTTATGAGATGTACATCACATATGTGTGTTGAATAAACACTCAAGAATCTTAGAACCACACTGCTTACGTGCTCTCTTCCTTGAAAGAAAACAGAAGAAGAGCTAAAATAAGTTAGAAGTTTTTTGAGAATCTCATAAATACAGTTAGAAACCTTTTGCGAAAAGTGGTAAGCAAAAGTAAATGCAGTTTTAGTTTTATGGCTACAATTCCAGTCAGCTTTCAGGGATCTTTCTTAAATTGTAATAGTCCTCCAAGAGAATGTGATGTATATCCTAGGATGGCGCAAATAACTGGTAGCCGACCCAACTGATTGTGAGCAGGCATACGTATATGTATTCACATAGTTGCGTACGTAAGCTGAAAGTGAGTAAACGTTAATGATCGTTAAAGCCTGTATCTCAAGGTGTGCAAGAGAAGCATGCTATGCATTTCAGAACCAAAAAGGATCTTCTGGGACCCTTCGAAGTGAACCTGAACCACCCGATGGACCCAAGAAGGATGAGCTAACATCCTCCCTCGCTGAAGGTCGTACAAATGAGGAGTGCGCATGTCTCCATTCAGCCTTAGCCCACTGATGCGGGCATCTTATACGAGAAGCCGTCCGGTGTTTCAATCCGTCTACCTCGTGGCGCTGACTGTGAGGAATACTCCATAAGACAGGCCAAATGGATCAAAAACTACGGTGACTGAAGATGCCGCGCGGTTTCTTTCTGTAAAATCGCGTCGTTACTTTTCTGGGTCACGGTTAACTGTATAAGGAGTGATAAAAGGCGGTTTCCTGCTTTTAGGGTGATTCATGATTCTTCTGTACATTATTTCTGAGCACCTGCTTCTTTTTTGCTCAAAAGAATTGATCATCTTCTAGGTCTTGCGCTTTCCTGTAGTTGGCGGTGACTTACCACCAACTACAGGAAAGCGTGTACCTCAAAAAGGACATCCGAACTTAAAATCCTCTAGCCACTTGTCAAAATAATCCGGTAAAGTCTCGAGAATCTATCAAAAAAAATCAAAAACTCAAAAACTATCGAAAACTATCTTTCGACACAAACCTTGTACATATGATGTGCAGTCGGGCTCGCTTCGACACTGAGGTGAGATCATGCGCAGCTTTTCAGCAGGTCATTTCGGCCCATTCTACCTTACCGGAATAATAAAATCCCTCCGTTGGTGAAGCATACTTAACAAAAGTCCGCTAGCAATGCCTTGAAACACCATCGGCTTACTTTGCTTCCATCCACTCCGCAAACTTCACGTTCAGAGTGATGTTTGTGAGAGTGATTCTCTCTGTTCTCTAAGAGACGTCATCATTCGTTTGCTTCCTTCGCTACTGGCAGTCAAGTAGCAATAGCAGTTTCACATTCGATCTCAAACAGGCACATCCTGCTACCGTGGAAAGAAATCACAGTGACGCTGCCTTATCGGGTCTCTATTTCCATCACAAGAATGGTAGTTCTACGTCTGTATCAGGTTCAAGGAGCGACCTATTTTTTAATTACAAACAATGTAATCCAGGTTGGGAAGGGATAGAAGTTCAGGCTCTGAGCTCGCTCTCAGGCTCTGTCTGCAGCCTGAGAGCCGTGAGTTCGGTCCCTGCCGGGGCTTGACCAAGCCCTGAAAAACTTACGAAAAATGGTCTCCATAACAGTCAAGCCTAGTTGATAGGTCGCTGACTGACACCCTAGTCACAATAAACATATGTAAAAGTCGCAGATGTATCAATGTTGAAGCTGGGACGTCAACAAAAAATGTCGCGCAAAACCCTTGCTAGGTTCTGTGATCAATATGGAGGGTTGCAGAGGAGTGATCGACATTGCGAAAGGAAGGGACTCTAAACGGACGAGGAGGAGCGACAGGTGAACGAGGCACAGGTTTGGTAGATATCGTCGCTCAGCTGCCTAACGAGAACTCTGAAGAAGCCGTGTTCAGGAAGAAGTCGATTAAACGACAAAGTGATTTTTTACCATTTCGTTTTGTTACTAGTTTCCGAAATCTCTTGAACTCACTAAGGAGTCATTCGTTATTGATGCCGTCCGTATCGAGAGTCGTCGTGAGTCTCATATCTACAGTTACTCACCTAGCTGGCCAACGATTGACGGAAGCTGACGAGGTGTTCCCTCCCTTAAACTAGTCATGATCGAAATTACTCGTTAAAAAATGGGCAAGGGGTGTGAAAAGAATCGTAAGTAGGAAAAAAAAACAAAAAGAATCATAGAAAACGCTGAGATTCCCCTGTAGGGTACCATGATACGACGGAGAGATAACACTGCGAGGAGAGGGAAAAGGCGAGAGAGTGCATCGTACGCGAGAAGGCATAAACGCTACGTGTGCTGCAATGGCAGCGGTCGCAGCGGTCATTTGAAAGAATAGCTTCTTTATTTATTTAATTTATTCATTGCGCTATAAATACCCAATAGAATATCGCACGTGCAAATGAAGTTTGCTTGACTTTAACGCGCAAGGAAACGCGTGTTCACCACTGATAACTCCAGTAGGCGGACGGGGCGTTCTAATGAGGAAAAGAAATAAGATTCAAAGAGACTACATGCTCATCGCGGCCGAAAGAGCTTGCGTACGGGCCTTGATAACATCCCGTGACAATGACTGATTCTTTTGTGGCTCTAAGCTATCTTGCAACTGGTGTCGTCAACCCCGCCCGGTCATCCCATGAGTAGCGCACCGCTTTTTGCAATTTTTACAAATCAGTTTTTTCCTCAAAAGAAATCGGACCCATGCCCGGCTTGAGTGATCCTACATTCCTGCGCAGTCGGCCATCCTGGCCTCTATTCTTAAGCTTCTTTTCTTGAGTCTAAGCTTCATTTGTTTATTGCTCGAATTCGTGGTGCAACATTAGCCCTTTCTTTATCCCTAGCACACTGTTCCATCGATCGCTCAAACTTGATAGAAAACCTACCAATCGTGCCATAACAAAGCAAGGATGCGAAATTGCCGCCGACACTGTGAAGACAGAACTCACGATGATGGGTGCTCATGTCTTGGGGCTCATTCAAGTTAGTGAGCCAATAGATGTCCTTGGGACTAAGCCTTAGCAGAGGAAGGGTTCCTGAGGGAGGATGTGAGCAATACGCGTTTTCCCTGGTGTTTCCCCCCTTTCCTGGCTGTAACCACAACCCCCTCCGCCAAGGACATGAGCGCCGACTAATGTTCATGAAGAAGAATGATGGGTAGTGTGACGGAAGGGTCTATTCAAATGATGTGTGGCTTTCCAGGAGGCGCCCTATCAACAGGGCTAAAAGGGTAACCAACAGGAAGTGCAAAAAGGCAGGGTCAGCGGACGAGTCACAGTGCGTATTGCAGTGATTCCGCGTCAAGCCGAGTAGAATGTATGGGAGGCGGTCATATGGCGCGATCCCACTGGCATTACAGCGCACAGACCGCAACTGCCCTATCCTGCTGCGGTCGGACTACACGTCCGTTTCACTCAACTGCCAGACTTCCGTAATTGATCGCTCTGATAAATTGGGTCTCAAAAATCTCGCTAGGTCCCAAGGATTTTAAAAATAGTGGATAGCTTCGCTGGCCTGATGCCAAGGCAAGAGGAACGGAACAGAACGTGCTGCGTGGACGAGTTGTCCGGCCACAGCAGGATGTGGTAACGGCATGTGCGCTCCAATACCAATTGGATCACACCATATGACGCACACCCGAATGTATACTCTGTTTCATGCAGCCAGAAATCCATGTGGCACACGTGGCCAAATTCTCGATGAGAAGGTGACGTCACGTGTGCTCAAAGATGTTCTTGAATCGATGCCACGTTAATGCCACGCAATTTCTGCAGTTACACAATTTCTGGTTATTCGAAGGCGAGGGTATCACTACACGCCCCACATCGCACAGCACGCGCTGCTTCTTGCCGCGCGACGGACCTCCTGTTGGGTACCCGCGTTACAAAAATGTGTTTCGCGTCATCTAAACCTATCGATACCGGACGTAATGCGTATCAGAAATTCTTATCAGAAATTCCCTTCATATCAAGCCGCCCCAACTTGCCATCCTGCTAATTTCACCTTTCACGTTCGGGTATGGATGATTCTTTTGCGTAGCACACATACTTGTCATTATAATGATAACTCGTGAAATAACTGCTGATAATATGATTACAAAAGAAAAGTTGTTGCAACGGCCGTCGAAGTGCAAGCAGCCGTCTAACTCGTCCAAAATACGAATCAAGTGGGACAAGAGGTTGCCGTTCCCTGGGATTTTGACCATTTCGATATTTTCACAAGCGCACCGATTGGCACCCTACTTGCATATTTCCACGGAATTAAAACTGTCGCGAGTTTTGCCTTTGAATACGTGATACGATAAAAGTGTGCAAGGAAACCTGCCCTATTTCGAAAACCGCAACGCAGCAGCATTGTCGACGATGGCGTTCATGTGGGCTTACGATCCTCCTGTTTTACAGGGAGGCAAATCGTCAACAAGGCGTTGTAAACTTTATGCTGTTACGTTGGCTGCTCAGGAGGGTTTTGTGTCATAAGTTTGATCACTAGAATTGCTCCCATTTTTAAGCCAGTAGCGTTGATAAAGGCATACGCTTGTGCCCATTTTTGTGACACTTAATCCCTTTACTTGTTTTTCAACCATTTTGTGGTGACTGCGTGACATTTTTGAGTTGTTTGTACTGCGTAGTATTGCAGTTACGAGGTTGGTTATGCATTTTCAATATCTCACGCAAATCAATGGTCTGTCATGATCTAATCGTCGTGACTAGTTCGCATATCGATTGACATCGGTTTCATTTCAGTTGGCCATGTCGGATCTATTATCTGGTATTTCAAGTCTCACCAAGCAGATTAGTAATAATATACCTTACCAGATCAAAAAACTAGGAGAATCCGTGTAAGTCAACCTATAATTTTCAATTTTCTAGCTTTTTTCCTCTTATTGTTACCTTAGTCTGCAGCGGAATCAAATCGACCTATTTGTGACAAAGGCATTTAGGGCGCTATCGCAAGATACGGTGGCATGACAACAGCAAAGCGTTTGAGACTGCGTCAAGCATCTTTTTTTATCATAAACAAGATCACCTGAGGGCGCATTCATGGTCGGTTGTCCAATCGTAGCGATCGCACAGCGTTAGATAAGTATCGATCGTCCAATCCGTAGACACGTATGACTATAAATGGGCCTTAGGAAGGCGGAAGACTACTATGCCACGTAATAAGTTCGTTTTCTCCAGTGTTTGTGCCCCGTCCTGCCTATGGGGGATGCTCCCGTATGTTGCGATAGCGAACAGTTGGTTTTTTCACCTATGCATTCATGGCGCTTTTGCTTCATACACTTAATTATTGCGGGTCTTTAAGAGTGAGGGAGGGGGGTGCTCTATTGAAAACCAGGCGGGCATCTAATACAATAGTTTGTGGCGCCATCAGTGAGACCAATCTTGGTAGGGAAGGAAGCTCTAGGTGGGTGTGAAAGCCAAAAGCGAACCTACGTAACTCGGAGTTTTTCCCTCCTCCTCCTCTTTCGCAAAATTAAGTTGCTGAAAGCTGCACGAACTATCGCAAAAAGTGCCCCTCGCCGTTCACCCTCCTTTTTTTGATCAAATAAGCCTCTTTCGGGAACGTTTGGCATCATGACCGATTGTATGTGAGGATAAATGCGCGTTCAAAGTTATAGCCTTGTCGATCCAGCTGATCGGCACTTCCTTAGATGCAGGTGAAATGCTCGCGTGATTCGTGTGACTATAATTTGAAAAGGAATAAGTCGTTGAATTACACATGCTCACTAAAGAACTGGTCTGTTCCGTTTTTTTACTCAGACAAACCACTAGATTTCATAAATCCCTGAGTGAGGCCCCTCGGGGTATATGGGATACAGCGTCGATCTTATGAGAACGTGTGTGTGTAAAAAAAGAATTGAGAGAGCATTACGAATTGGAGTCTGCTATTTAGGGAACTTTGCAGCTCACTTGGCAACTCAGTGATACGGCGATTCCCTGTAAAGGGTTAGGTGTTCATTGATTTCGGGTGCTCCATCCTGTAGCGGTTTTGGTGATACAGCGAGGGAGAGGCTTGCTAGGCCACAGAGCGACTTTTCCACTTTTCGCACTACGGGAATCTCAGGTTCATCATTGATCAGGAGTGAACCTCTGGTTTTCGCAGCGGGAAAGTTTCGCGTGCGAAAACGGAAAAGTCGCTTTTTGTCCTAGCGAACCACACGCGTTCGGCCACCGATTCGGAGTCCTTATAATCGGTACATACATATCTTTCAGCGGAATTGCTATATCGCCGAATCTGCGATTATGGTGTTCGTTAATTGTAGTACTAATTTGAAACCGCCGCAGCAACAATCTCACTTTCTCCATTTTGTTTTCTTTTTCATTTTTATTTCTCATTACCTCGGCCTTGAGTGAAGCAGCATGAGTGTGTCAGTTGTAGTAACCAATACGCCAAATGACAGAATCGGCCAAGTCGGAAGCGCTGAGCGCGATCTAATTTAAAGGAATCTTCCACGAACCATGGACCAGTGGGCGGGAGCGGAAGTTTTTGTGACGAAATGCATGGTAGGTACGGATCCACGTGGCGAACGCACGAACGTGAACAGGATTCACTTCAAACCTTCCCATGAACGTGGATCCGTACCTACCATGCATTTCGTCGCAAAATCACTTTCCGTCCCGCCCACTGGTCCATGGTCCGTGGAAGATTCCTTTAAGTATTTTTTTTCGTTGATATTGTTTTCTTTTGAGGCACACCATAGTCATGAATTATACGGAAGCTGAAAACCTTGTCTACGAAGCCACGAATGAAGATCCATGGGGTCCGACTGGTCCGCAAATGAAAGAGATTGCTAACTATACCTTTCAGTGAGTGTTTATACACCTTCATTTTTGTGGCAGTAGTTTCATCGAAGGATCATTCAGGTATGATGGTTTTCACCAAGTTACTAATCTGCTCTGGAAAAGAATGTTGGAAGACAATAAAAATGCTTGGAGAAGAGTGTATAAGGTATGATCGTACATTTGTTCCTCCTAATTTAGTGCTACCAAAAGGCAATGCGATGAGTGCTCATTGACATGACTCCTAAAAACCGTTGATATGATTCCATCATCCGTAATGAATCGGAAAAGTTCTCCTCTCTATAGCAGTAGAGTCAGTATTTGTATTCTCAGAAGCCATTTGAACTCCTCTGTTCCGGTGTTCCGCATGTATGGTGTGATTCACTAGGACAAAAAGCGAAGTTCCCGCTTCTCGCACGCGAAATTCCTCTCGCTGCAGGAACCTCAGGTCCACCACTGATCATGGGTAGACCTGGGCTTCTTGTGATGAAAGAAGGTTCGCGCTCGAATAACGGCAATATCGCTTTCAATCCTGGTGAACCACATCCCGTGTAGAGAGGTTGTGACCTTCTCACGGCTCAAGGGCGTATGGCGGGGTCGAGAGTTCTGTTGTTCCCGTGATTCCACTCTTCATTCTCGTGTTTCTTGAGATCACATAACACCCAACACCCGGTCGCTCCCTCCAATAGCTGCGTCAAAACGAGCTGCAAGTGAGTGTCGTCGTGCGGTTGCCACTTGTTCCACATCCTCCTAGGTTAGATTTGCCAAGTTCTCCAAACGACTTGGGAACATTGGCGCCAAGTTCTAGCGGCAAACAGAAGAGTTAGGGGTGTAGTTATACGTATAATACGCAGATAGCTTTTGGTATATTAAATGTATAACTAGACATCTTCCCACGTATGAAAAAAGGCATCTTTTGCTCGCATGAGATAGGCCATAACCACTAATTTACTGCTCTACAATTTAAAGAAGGGTCAATAACAAAGAGAAGGCGGATAACGGTGCAGAGACACGTTAAAAAACCATAACAACACTTTTGTCAGTTTCTGTCATTTTTTGTGAACTAATCCTCAATGGGAAGGTGGAGATGTTCCGGTGCGCGAACTTTTTCCTCTTGAAGTTTTTCCTTTCCTAATGTCGATCCTCCAGGAGTCCTCATTTCCTGCGTCTTAGTTGCTTTTCCGGGCCCCGGCACAAAATCCCGTGCAAAATACTAAAAATCAAAAATTAGCACAGGGAATGAGCCGTTAGCACTTCGTGACTTCAATAGACTTCTAGGGCAGTTCGCGCAGTGAAATGCTGCTCCTTTCTGGAATGTGCCTAAAATTATTATTGAAAAGTCTTCTTGACTGCCATATTGCTGTTGGGCAACTAACTCTCATTAGATATTCATGTTTTTTTGCAGAGTCTGACACTGTTGAATCATTTACTTTTCCATGGAAGTGAACGAGTGATAGGTAATGCTCGAGACCATATGTTTCAAATGAGGTTTATCATCATTTTCATTTTTTAACCTTTAAGTTTCATCATTTTTTATTTTTTATTGTTTTTTATTTCGCTTATCCTTACATGTCGAAAGAGGTAGAGGCATCAGAGATAAGCGTGACGGGCGATTTTGCTCTGTTCTCCTTATGCTGATCACTTATTTAAAGTACAATCCGCTCTCCAACGTCCCATGCGACTGACACTTTTAGAGCTAAGAGTAATGCTTTGCTGACTGTTTGCCAACCTAATTTACTAAGGTGATGGCCTATTCGCAGTCGATGACCGAAGTGTAGTTCGCGCACCGCATGCGTCATCTTATTGGTGCGACTGAATAAATTGCTACAAGTTAAAGTTAAATTCATTCCCACGTTGGGTCATAAACGCTGTGGAGTACCTATAGCATCAGAACTTTTCTATCGTTCATGATTGATGAGCACCAGGGAAGTGCTCGCTACTTCCGGCGCGTTCCCCGAAGAGTTACCTTCTTTTAGCATGAAATCACGAATGTTGATGCACAAATCCTCCGCTCGTACGCTGCGCTCATGAGGCATTGAAAAATATGGTGGGTTATAATTTAGGAACGAGAATGAAGCTCTCTTTGCATTATCCTCTCAAGCAGCAGCGTTTGATGGCTATTGTACATGCGATCAGACGATTGTGCTAAGTCTATAAGGAAAGAAACACGTATTGGTTAGGGATTGCGTGAGTAGGCGATCACTCAGGGCGCGCATGCATATTCGGTCGTCCGATCGTTGCGATTCTACGGTCGCACAACGTTAGATACATAGCGATGGTCGCATACTCCAACGCTGTGCGCCCGCTACAGTCGTTATGGTGGGACGACCGACTATGCATGCGCCCTCAGTGGGTGGAGTGAACAATTCGATTTACTTCACTCACCACCTAACCACCCACTCGCATGATCGCCTACTTGCCTAGTCGCTTAACCGATACGTTTATTTTTTTCTGAATCATTGTTCAATCGCATGTATGAATGCCAACTCTGAACGCTGTCTTATTGTACAAGCCACGCGCGTAGGGACATCGTTCAGGAGCGGCTATTCCCCCATTTTTGGTGTGATTTGCGATTTCGCGCGTGGATAATCGTGGGTCACGTTAGCAACCATACGGGCACCATTCGCTTTCTTCCAGATTTGTATCGAAAGATTGTTGAGTGTCTTTTAGAGCCATGCTGTTGTGTGTGCACGCTTTCACTTGCACTTCCAATAGAATAATGCGCCGAAAATTATTGGTCCCTTCCAATCTAGCACAGCCAGTTTTACTGTTACAGCACTTCCATTTGCTTGTATACATGTAGTTACGTTATGTTTATCACATGACACGCATGTATAATGTGAGAAGGCCAACAAATAAAGAAAAAAGAGTTTAAACTAGTTCGCCATGTTTTGAAGAGATCACATGTAATTCTGCGTTTCACGAGGGAGGTGTAGGCGCGGCAACAAGGCAGGGTCAGTGGACGAGTCGAACGCGTGCTGTAGTGATTTCGCGTCAAGTCAAGTAGAATGTATCATAGTACGTACTACATCATCATCTCGCGTGCGACTCGACCGCTTAGGTTGACGGACTTCTAGAACTCAGTCCTTTACCGCCTCTGCGCTCTCTAGCGGGTCCACCTCCTCTCAAGGCTTAGTCCTAGGGCTTTCTCTAGTCGTTTATGCTCTAGCCATCGCGGGAGGACCATTGAGGACAAATCAAATAGTCCGTAAACCGACCGCTTACTGCCTTCTTACCGCGCGACGGTCCTCCTAACGTACCCGATTCTCCTTCTGGCCTGAGAGCAATAAATCGGTTGAATGGTGCTTCTTCCATAAAATCTCGTTCAATTTAATACTATGTAGTTAGTGCACATCTTCCAATGGTGTTCCAACTTCTTTTGTAATTTTTTTGATATTAAAGATCTCTGGAACAATACAAGTACGTCGACGAGCGTGGCCGTGACCAAGGATTAAACGGTGGGTTTCTCTTCCTTTCTTGTCAGTTTGGTTATCCCATTCATTTCCTAATCTGTACCTTTTATAACTTCCAAATATGCCAAGAAGCAGTATGCATTTGAAAAATGTTCACCTCAAAATATTGCCTAGACCCGAAGAATACTCGTGGTGGTCTGAAATTTGTTTGAAAAATCGTGAGACTTTGAGATAAATATTCTTTCATCGCATGTTATTTAACACATTAACGGTCACATATAGCGGGATCCGTCGATGCACACTTGGCCCTGCCCGTTTCGGATTCTCATACAGAATCCGACTTTAGCAGGTTTACATCTCAGCTATCATTTATCTCGCTGAAAGTTTGTAAAGATTCATTGGCATTTTTTCCTTCTTCACCAGTGCGGTGCAGGTTATTTATCACACTGCCTGTAGAGTCTTCAAATTCCCCTGCTAAATAGATATAAACGAGGGTGCCTCATCCTATCTTTCACGATCTTATCGGCGCCTCATACTATGCCGTTGAATGCTCCGTCTCGTAGCGTTGGTGAGAGCAGAAAATTCAACAAAAAAAACAGCTAAGGCCTACAATAATGGCTAATATTTAAGTGATTATTTGATCGTACTTGCACAATTTTGATAGGAGAAATCTGTAAATATTTCTATATGATCTTGTTATCGATACGATAGGACAAAAGCAAGTGATCAGTCAATCTAATTCTCGACACTCATTTCTTCCCATCTTCGTGGTACTCGGCAACAACCACGTTTTTCGATTTTATTAAAGTTCTCTAGGGCAATAGTTTGTGAACCATATCGCGGTGAAACTCCAGTTCGGGGGGGCCACTCCATTTTTTCTCCAAGACTCTAGATAAGGATTAGAGGGCTCACGACACGTAATCGACTCATTTATAGTAGACTTCTGATAAGTATCGGTGTAATAGGTGAAAAACCCTGAAACGTTTGCACTTTTCCGCCTGCCATGACCCAAGGGAACAGCCCTGGACCAGAAGAAAGGACACCTTCACATAGGACTAAGGGTGCAGGAGCTCCAGGGTCAATCACCTGTGCAGAAAAGTGGATGGGATGTGGGCAGGTAGTGTGGAATGTAGGACATCTACCGGTCCTTATCAAAAGTACGCCCGAAATGAGTCGTTCACTTATATCTTATCCGTTGTGTTCGATAGCCCAAAGAGCTGCTCTCTAGTACTACGGATAAGATAGCAATGGAGTGCCCCCCCCCCCCCCCGAACTGGAGTTTCACCCCATATCGCTTGCTGTGACTCGCTTTCTCTGCTAGATTTGAGCTTATCGAAAAAGTCTCATACTGCTCTGCCTATCCATGTAAATTAGAAAGAGTAGTAGAAGTGAATACATACTTTTTACGGATGGCCAAATATGATTTCAATGGACCAACCACCTCAAAAAACTATCTGCAGCGCAAGATTTTCTTTTCCCACACAGTTACACTTTCTTCTGTCTGGAATTCATCCACTGTACCCTAGGATAGGTTCTACGCATTTTACATTGCTAAAATTCCTGTGTGTCATTGTGGCTTTGTGCCACGCATGTTTCATATTCATCACTCAAAATCCACGGACGTGAAGTGAGCTGGGCGCAATCGATATCGATTCGTTTTCACATTGAAAAAACCCAAAACGCACTGTGTTGTCAATGTGCTCGAGGTCTAGCAATGTCCACGTTGTTGTGTTTTAGTTCGTCATCGTGTAAAGGTCATTCTGGAGCTACTGAGTGACGATGATAAACTTCGTGCTCAGAGGAAAAAGATGAAATCTGATAACAAGGAGCGTTACCAAGGTTACACGTCAGATGATATTCGAATTGGTCGCGGTGGAGCATATAATAGTATGTTTGTGATTACCGACGTAAATGTCCTATTTTTGGTTTTGTTTATGTAAGTATTGAATTCTTAAGGCAGCTCGATTAATAGCTACAGTGATGAGTGGAAGGACGATAGTGACAGCTACAAGAATAGATCGTCATACGACGATAGCAGGTATTCCATTTGTATAGTTTTCATTCTCCATCATACATCTGTTTTTCAGGGACGATTACTCTTCGAAGGAAGTGAACTCGTTTCAATTTCCCGATGAAACAAGAAGAGGATCGGCTTCTCCTGAATTGGGCTTTCGGCAAGAGGTAAGTTGTTCTTTCGTAAGAGATGTCACGTGAGCTGTGTAACATATTTCTTCCATCGATGCTAAAAGGGCTTGACTTTCCTGATAATAATTTTTAATGCCACAGCCTACGCCTGAAGAGGACTTTGGGGATTTCGCATCGGCGCGATCTGTTCCACAGCCCACTACAACTGCACAGGTGACAGGTAAGTATTGTGATGACAGTATTTTTGTAGCGATTTCAATTATATGTTTGAATTTGTCATGTTGAACTTGAACTTGTTGGCCCTGAGTGTTTAACCCAAGAATTTATTCACTCTATTAAAGGCGTTGCTGCTTTGCAGTATAGAATCTATCATTTTGCTTGGTAATCTATTAGGCCGCGTTCATAGTTCGCGACTCCGGAGAATAGGATAATACGCGACAATGAAAAACATACGTATGACGGGGAGATTAGGATAGTGATTAGTACAATAGTAAAGAAGGAGATTGCGCTGACAGGATTAGATACGTATCGATTGAAGTCGTTGGAGGGTAGCAGATTGCGATATTGCGATAGTAGGATAGTAGTAGAAAAGGAGATTAGGATAGTGCGCTGATAAGATTAGATATGTATTGATCTATCTTGAGCTTGATCGCTTGGAGTCGCCCAATCTACTACTCTCCAGCGATTTCAATCGATACGTATCCAATTGTCAGCGCAACCTCTTAGTTTAGTACTATCCCAATATCCTGTCGCCTACTATCCTAATCTCCCGAGTCGCGAACTATGAAGGCGGCCTTACTTATTCCACTCGTAGAGGTTAAAAATAAAAAAATTTCTGAGGGATTGTAGGATAAAATTTGTCGCCCACAAGGACTGAAAGTGTTGTTAAGATGTGCTGCAGTAACGACTAAGGGAAACATTGGATGAACAGTAAAAGGGACATCTGTTTCCCCGTTGGATTCCGCATTGGGCGAATCCCATCAGTGCAAACACCTCAGCGATCTGCTAAAACTGCCCTAGTCTAACAGTGAGGGTCATCGGGGTTACCAGTTGTAGGAGTAAAGCTGCGAGGATCTTCCAGTCGCCTGTAAGGCCCTCTATGGCTGCTACGGACGCATTCTTCACAGCAAATCTGCATAGCACAATGAACATTTTTCTGCTCTCTAGGGAAACTGCCTCTCTTGTAGATATAATTCCCCTTTTCGATGTCAATTTATCGTACCGCATGCCTTCGGACATCTGCTAGAACCAAAAGCCTGCAGAAGCGTTTCAGGGCAGTCACATTGTGTGCAAATAAAATAGCATAGGCGACTGCGCAAAACTGGTTGTCGGGTTCAAGAACGGTGGTTTGGCTAGACACGCCTGGCGTCGAGCGCTATGCAGCGTCAAGCAACGGTTTCTCCACAGCTCCTCTTAAACTGATTTTCATGAAAAATAGAGGTGAGTAGCGGAGGGAGCATGGAGAGGAGGGTCCACGAAGGCGGAAAAGCGGAAGCGACCAACAAAAGCTTCAAAAAAAATGTCCATTAGAATCTAGACATGCGTATCTGACACGAGTTGCATGATTTCCTTCTCAGAAGTGCCTTTCATGTAAAGTCGCCCCTGGAATCTCACTAACTTCAGCCTTCGCTTTCGAGTTTGGGTGATTTTCTGTGTTGTACGAGTTCATATTATTATAGCAATAATACTTGTCATAACTACTGATAGAAAAGTACAAAAGATCATACAGAACGGAGCAACACATAGTAGAGTGATGTGCATATTTTGTAATTTCGTGTTCCCTCAGGAACCATAAAGTCTGAAGCACTTCATATTCCTGCTATTCGTCCACCAGCGCCTGTTTCTGCGCCGTCGAGAACAAAATCTCCGGCGTCTATAGATCTGCTCGGTCTAGATGCCCCAAGCGCTACAACTTCGTCAATACCACCACTGGATTTCTTCGGAGCACCGGTTCTTTGCTTTTCTTTTACATTCAAATAATTTTCCGGCACTATTGAGCTATTACAACCCCAGAGAGGGGGTGAGATGGGTCAAAAAATTTTTTTCGCTGAAACTTGCGCTAGGGGGGTAATTGAGGCTCCTGATCACGAATATGACCTTAGTTTTTGCCGCTGGCGCCAAATTGGCGCCATTTGGCGCCAAGGTTGTTTTCACCAAATTCGCTGTAAACTTGTGAATAGGGGTTATCGAGGCTCCTGATCATGAATATGACCTTAGTTTTGGCTCAATTCCTCTAGGTGAGGCTCGAAATAGATGTCATCTAGGCGCTCATCCAGTAAGGGGGGGCATCAAGTGGCTGCCCTCACCCCCCACCCCCCTGAACTGGCTTCACTCCCCCTGGCTCACGGGGTCCCGTACTGCGAGAAACCTGTGTGCCAGGGGGAGTGTAGGCAGTCTAGGGGGGTAGGGGATGAGAGCAGCCACTTGATGCCCCCCTTATGGATGAGCGCCTAGATGACATCTATTTCGAGCCTCACCTAGAGGAATTGAGCCAAAACTAAGGTCACATTCATGATCAGGAGCCTCGATAACCCCTATTCACAAGTTTACAGCGAATTTGGTGAAAATACCCTTGGCGCCAAATGGCGCCAATTTGGCGCCAGCGCCAAAAACTAAGGTCATATTCATGATCAGGAGCCTCGATAACCCCTATTCACAAGTTTACAGCGAATTTGGTGAAAATACCCTTGGCGCCAAAGGGCGCCAATTTGGCGCCAGCGTCAAAAACTAAGGTCATATTCGTGATCAGGAGCCTCAAGTACCCCCCTAGCGCAAATTTCAGCGAAAAAAATTTTTTGATCCATCTCGCCCCCTCTGGGGTTGTAATAGCTCAATAGTGCCAATTTTCCCTTCAACTATCAATTTTCCCTTCCAGGCACAGGTTCAGTCATCACCAATAAGGCCACCACGCCCTCCATCAGGTGATGGAGGAGTGCAATCGGTCTCTAAGCCAGCTCTTGCCGACAATCTTTTCTTGTCCAGTCCTCCGGCTCAAGTAACTTCTGATAACGCTTTTGTGTAAGTGTACGCTTTCTTCTCAGTTTGCTAATATTTTTCAAATCCAAAAATCACGTTATTTGTTAACTTGCTGCAAGCTTACTCCTACATGATGTGGTTTTTTTGTAATGGTAGTGAAGTGAGTCTGGAAGGTAGGCTCGCATAAGGAGAGCTTGCCAACAATCACATGAGACGGGGTAACGGCTAAGACTTCCGAAAATGTGTAGATGATTCTACAATGAATCGTGAATGCCAGTTTCGTATATTTAGAACCGATTGGTCCGCGGCTCCAACAGTGCTCAAAGCTCCTGAACCTCAGCCTTCCTACGACTTCGCAACATTTGATGCCTTTACTTCTCCTACTCCTCTATCACCGGCCTCATCGACACCTATATCAACTGTCCTTCAAGTGAGTTATATCATTTGAAGGGCATGAAGTTTTGCTCATGTTTGGAAATGGCAAGTACGAGGAGGTGGTCTGTTTCTAGAAAAAAAATATTTCGTTTTTATTTTATTTTATTTGCTAATGTGCTCTCAAACAGTTTCTGAAAAAGACTGTTCACATCTTTTGAGGATCTTCAAAGACAGGATGGTGCTTAAATGTTGTACGAACTAATTGTAGTCCATCTCAAATAGATGGATAACAATCATGGTAACGTTTAATAATATCGTGGAAACAATAAGTAACATTTCTTATTCGTTATGTGCGCTCACAGCCAAGTCGAGAATTTGTCTCGGCATAAGGCCAAACTCAAATTCGTTCGTTTTTGTTTGCTTAGTTTGTAAAGTTTCCTTCTGAGCAACATCTTCAGATTTTCGTCCTTTTTGAAATGCATCTGCTTTCACGTCCCAGTCGAGCTATGTTTTTTTGTGAAGGTCTTCAGCTTAAATAATTTCCAGATTAAAAAGTGAGCCACATTTAGTCGGCTGGTTATTCTGCATCCTTCATAAGTAGGATATATCACCTTGCTAAAGCTCACCAAATTTGATATTTAAGTCAGTGCACCTGCTAAGTTTTGTCGTTGGACGTTTAAGACATTAAATCGTGTGCTAGAGAGTCTCATAGGTTGAAGATCTGCTCATCCTAAGCATTTTCTCCGTTGTTGAATGGGCACCGTTCACAATGCGTGCCAAAAGTCTTCTACGTCGTCCAACCTTGCTCTTATTCTACGTCTGTAAAGCTTACCATTTTCGCCGTTTGGCTGCCGTTAATGGTTTACCATTCGAAGGGAGGTATTAAGCGTGAATGTCTTTGAGATGACGGTAGCATGTATCTTCAGAAGGCGACTAGTCTTGTAAAGAAATTGGCAGGCAAAGTTGTCGAAAACTGTTCCTTCCGCATGAATTGAGCTATTCTCCCGGTGAAGATCAGGGAAATTGGAACATCAATCATACTTGTCACCATCCTCTTACCCTGCTCTGATATACTATATCCCTATCTCTACCACATATGAAGCGCTGAGTCCGTCTGTCTGTGTGTATGTGTCACGAAATTTGGCAATATCTGAAAACCGCCCGGAGAGGCTAAGAACTGACCATTGAAAATATCCATTTCTAGCGGCGGAATCCTGCTTACCATTGAGGCTCTTGAGATTATTCAAGGGAATAAAGGGTGGCTACAAAGTATAGTCCGGTATTTAGTCGCATGTAAAAAAATAAAGGATAGTAATGGGCGGAAGTGGTGTAGTGGCAAGTGACACACTTACCACGCGAGCGGCCTGGGAATCAAATCCTGGGTCGTGAGTCGCTCCGGCCAACCAAGCCTTCCATCCCTCCGGAGTCGGTTGGTACGAGGCTTGTCTAATGAAAACACTGACCTGTACATTGGCAGACCCCCGCAAGTCATTGTATAGGCATCGTCGCATTCAAACGCCACTACGAATGTACAAATGGAAGTAGAATGCGTGGCGCATCCCAAAAAGGAATTGTTCAACGGCGAATGCTTCATCCTTTTGTGAAAATAGGTAAGATGCAGTTCTTCAAGAAATTCTGTCAAATGGTAAGATCAAGATACAGGAACATTGTTCGAGGTGCTGTTCGAAATGGTCGCCTTTGGCCAGAATACAAGCTTCCAATCTTTTGGTAAAGGCCTCCACGGTAGACCGCAGGTAGTTGACATTTATCTTCTGCCATTTCCTCTAAGGCGCTGCTTTCAGGCTATCCAAACTGCGGTGGGGGGAAGAAGACAGTTTCTGCTGCAGATATTGCTAAACGGAACAGTCCATTGGGTTGAGGTCCGGGGAGTTAGACGGCCACATGTCTTTGTCCCATAATCCCGGAAAATGACGTTGGCAGGAGGAATTTGTAGATTTCGACCCATGTGCTGGCGCCCAGACTTGTTCCAAAGTAAAATTCTGTCCTTTAAAGTGTTCACGAGCCCACGGCATCAGTGTGTCCCAAAATAACATTCTGGTAGATTTTGAGTTGGTTTAAATATTTTTGCCAACAAAAACGAAAGGTGTCTCGCCTTCTAATGCTATCCCGGCCCGAACCATCACCGACTTCGGGAACAGGCTCCTGGTTTTTACACTCGTTTTTTGGAGCTTTCTCTGTCGGGCTAAGTGGTTGCCGCTGGTTTTGGCTGTTAGCGCGACCTTGACTTACAAGGAAAGTCCCTCGAGTCGCCATGGCCATTCGAGAAAAGATGTATACTCAGGTATGCGTCTTGGAACGCTGATCTCGAATCCATCTCCCAAATCTGCTAAACGATCCGGAGAGAGAAGTTAGGGGGGTGGTTTCACCATGGAGGTCCAGTTTTTAATGCTACTCGACAACCAAGCGGTCGTGCTTCGGTGGCGCAGCCGGTAAGCTGTCGGACTCGCAGGAGCAGCACCAAGGTGCGGATCCTTGATGCATGTGTTGCTTTTGCATTTGTCTCAAAATATTTTTTAAACGTTTGCAAAACAGTTTCGTAGCCAACTTTGACCACTTTCAACCTCTATTATCCTTTTCTAAACTAGTTTCCTGAGGTTACTTCTACTGTGACTTATTCAACTATGACTTCGTTTTCAAAGCCAATGGTGAATATTTATGTCATATTTTACAGTGATGCTTCAAAAATTTCAATTCATCCTGTATTTTGAACGCTGGGAGAGGTTATATGCGGCTCCGTAGGTAATCGAGCAAGTAAGGAGTTTATTCAGAAATCACCTCATGTAGGCAAGGGAAGGGTTGGAATAGTCAAAGTTGGCTACGAAACTGTTTTGCAAAAGGTTAAAAAATATTTTAAGACAAATGCAAAACCAGCACATGCACCAAAGATCCGAACCTTGGTGCTGCTCCTACAAGCCCGACAGCTTACCGGCTGGGCCACCGAAGCACGACTGCTTGGTTGTCGAGTAGCATTAAGAACTGGACCTCCATGGTGAAACCACCACCCTAACTTCTCTCTCCGGATCGTTTAGCAGATTTGGGAGACGGATTCGAGACCAGCGTTCCAAGACGCATACCTGAGTATACATCTCTTCTCGAATGGCCATGGCGACTCGAGGGACTTTCCTTGTTAGAAGAGTTCCGACGATGTCTGAGAGGCGGCCCGCAAGTACGACTGAAAGAAGCTTCTTACATGTTTTTCAGTCCATTCTTCTTGGCGGCTTCGCTGAGCACCTTTACTCGGAAGAAGCATTAAAGGATAAAAGGATAAAGCTTTTGCCGTTGATCAATCCCGTCTTGGGATGCGGCATGCATTCTACTTCCATTTGTACATTCGCAGTGGCGTTTGAATGCGATGTGGCCTATACAATGACTTGCGCGGCCAGCCGATGTTCAAGTCGGTGTTTTTATCCTCCCAGACAAGTTTGGTACCAATTAACCGACCCCGGAGGGATGAAAGGTTTGGTTGGCCCGGGCGACTCACCAGGATTTGATCCCCGGACCGTCACAAGGTGAGCGTGCCATTGCCACTACACCACTTCCGCCTAGGGCGGAAGAAGCATTAATTGTGTAAATCGAGTTCAAGTCTCACGATTATTGAACACTTCGTCGTGAGATGTGCAGATCCGATCCGATTCTGTTCATACTGACCTCATCGCTACGGGAGGTCCTTTTCTTGATCGCCTTCCGAATCTGTAGAACATAAACAGTTTTTGGTGGGCCTGTTTTTGAAGGTGGTAGGTAGTGTGCTCGCTCCCTGTATTGAGTCACAATTCTTCCAACCGTCCTGTCGTTGTGCGCAGCCTTTTTGCGATCTCTGCGACGGAAACATCTTCGTCCATGAAATGTGCGGTGGTGGTGCGATGAGGAGACGGTCGCATTTCTTCGAGGTATTTGTACTAACAGTCGTGATAATTGGCAAGTAGTGCATGATTGACATGCTCTATTCAGAACATGTATTACACACCTAAACAGACGTGTGAATTGGCGGACCATACTTTGTAGCCACCCTGTACTTCTTCGTAAAGGAGACACTTCATCGTGAGATCAGTCAACTACGAAAACAAGAAGTCATAAAGCATTAATAATTTTATACAAGAATGCTGGGTCATGAACAAAACTTCCGCTCCAGGCGGGACTCGAACCCGCAGCTACGCTTACCGGGCAAGTGCGCTACAGTTACGTTACCGTGCCAACAGTTCGCACTAACTTAGCTTTTCATGATATGTTTACTACAGCTTATCTGCACTCATACATGTAAGGTGTTGAGCCGGTTAGCCGACACCGGCAGTGAAAGCGATTCTGAAAGCGTTAGCTGCTGATTTCGATTTGTTTTTGACTGTTTTGCAGCAGCTTTCAGCCTTGCGGATCCTTGCCGATGTCGACTCGGCTCAACGCGTTATATGTGCAGAGTGCTGTTAAGCTATGGTAAACATATCATAAAAAGCTGAGTTAGGCCGAAAAGGTTCGGTAAGCGAGATTTGCTTGCTTGAGTCCCGCTTGGGGCAAAGGTTTTGGTAACAATCCAGTATTTTTGTGAAGCCTCTGCAAGGCGAACTGCTTCCAAAAACAGCAGTGACAGACAAAACTAGTCAAAATAACATTTTATGTAACGCGACGACTGCGACCCTGGGAGATTGGGAGATTTCAGTA